AGAGTATACACCGATCAGTTAGATAAAATGGTTGTGCTCAGACTAGGCAATTTTTCTCGTTAGCGTGGTTGTCACTGATTGATTTCCTCGCAAGAGGGAGCTTTATCGTTTTTTAGGCACACTACTGTAATTCTAAGAGCTTGGATACCGAAGCCCTGCTCCTCATTGGGTGTGCGATCCTTCGAGCAGAAAACTGAGAAATTCCTGGCAGTGCGGCCAATTACTCAAGAGGTTTAGATAGTAGCTTTCAAACGTGACAATTCGTCCACGGACCTAATAAGATCGGCATGAAATCGATGCACTCAATGCAACTACTTTTGCACCTCTATCTTTCCCAACAAGCCAACCACTAGAACTGGAAACGCAGCTGAACCCCGATCGTGAATTACCACGCCATCCAAAGTTTGAAGTTCTCCTAAGCGAAGTAGTCACTCCTTTTCCCCTAGCTGGGGTTGACTTTCTATTTTCGTGGTGAATCGGAAGACAGAACTTCGAGCAAATTTCGGCCTTCTCCAATAATAACGTACTCTTTCTTCAAAGCCGCCGAAATGCAGGATTCGTCTCTCCATCCCTCTTCTGAATCAGCAGCTATGCCAGTGAACATTCCGTTGAACATCACAAACCTGGAAACCGTCTTTTGCTCATGTGCTGGATTGGAACATTTTGTCAAAGATTCACCGCACCTGTCAGGCAATCCGAGCCTCATCGTCAGATAGCAAGGATCAATGATTGGATGAAACAATGTACATCGACGAAGCAGTGTCTTCTAAAATCCGGTTAAGTTTTCGACCTTGTCAGTAATGTTATCAGTAGAATCTCTTAAGAAAAAGACACAAATCAATTTTACGCTTTCGGTTGCTGTGGTCATTCACTGCACCACTAAAAGTCAGCTAGTCTTACATCAGTTTTCAAAATATGTGGTTTTACATAATGCCATTTTTGACTTTTCAACTTTATTATAAACGCATTTGCAAAAACGGTATATCCGCCATAACAATCCTGACATCTCTCGATCTATTTCGCGAAAAAATGGATGCCTTCTTCGAAGACTGCGACTCGAAGTTGGACCAAATCCTGACGTCGTCGCAGTCCTTGAAATTTTTTAGGCCAAAAATGCCATCCTGACTTTGATAAATGGTAAATGGAATCAGTTAGATTGCTTCAACTGGCGCGGAAAGCAAGAGCTGCCTAGAATATTTGTCCCATAGTTTTTGCAACGCATGCTGGCTGGCTGGCGGTGCTTTGCCGTTGAAAAATTCATTCGCTGTACAGGTTCGCCGAATCAGTCACCTGATGACTTTCAAAGGTAACAACGCTACTGCCAAGTCCCCGTGAATGGTATTTCGGATGAACCAGTACAATGCTTTTCCTTTTTGAGAGCCAACAAAACGCTAAGAACATTTAAATAAATGTAATTTCACAAGGTGGGATAACTCCCCTGTCCCATACCTTATTGCCCCCTCTTTAGTGTATTGTACGTGTCAAGATAAAGGACCTCATCAAAAGGTAGAAGCTAGAAAGAATTCTGCACATACGATCAGTGCGATTTTAAAGAAGATTCCACAATAAGGACGAAGATCGAAAAGGAAAAAAATCACCTAATGGAGATACAGGCGGATGTCCTATGGATGCAGATCAACACGCAATTCCCATCGAATGATATGCCCCGGCAATCTAGCAAAACCTCTGCGGCTAATGGCACCTTACGCCCCCCTCTCCTCTCGCATCTCGTGTCTGATGTGAGTCTTTAGATGTCGTGCGAAAAGAGCGTTAGCGTTGAAGAGAGCAGCACCGATGAGACTCGCATCGTGCGGTGCTCAAAAGGCAAGGAGAGGGTACCATTTCTCGGGTGGGTGCTAGGCTACTTTCCGGTTTATCTTCTCTCGTGCATCACTGACCATCTCTAACATAATCCCAATGGGCTGTCTTTTCATCGTGAAATCCACCTTTGGGGATTCGTAACCGTTTTTTTTGCTCTATTTGATGCTGAAATTGAAATACCAAGCCATACAGCAATTCCATATATAATAATAATCATACAAATACATTTCTAGACTCAATAGCCCTCACATATTTAGCCGTTCAATGAGCCTTCACTTTTGCGGTATCCCATTGAAGGGCGGAGAGGCTCCCATTCAGGTTGTAGTGCCAAATTAATACGAAAAGTTTTTTTCCTTTCAAGTTTTTTTTTGTATCAGCACCTCGCAAAATCATTCAGAATCTTTTGCCTATATGGCGTGAAAATGACCTTATCGGAAGTGCTCAAACACTTGAAGTGATTCCATCCTCGCATCCATTCATAGGTAGCTAAGATCTGTGCTCGGATATCCTTTCGCACTCCAGCAAAAGGTGAGCTCGGTGAGATCTCGTGATGAGAACGGCTGCAAAAAGTGCATTCTGAGCAGGCACCTAAGGCTACAATTGCAATCAGACAACTCACAATGTCGTCGACCTCACCAGCTGAGAGTATTTCTGATATACTGCTCTTCACACAGTAGAGAATACTACGTCGTTCGTTGTACAGTCGCTCTTCTCTCAACAACATCCCCAAAACACCATCTCCAGTTTCCCTAAATACGGCAGCAATCGTTGTTGATTCAGTAGGAGAGAGGGGGAATGGACTCAAAACAATGAATGGCTCACCGCAGCGATCCGAGCGAATGTGGGAACAGCTCGTGATCTTCGGAAACTGATGACGAGTAGGAAGGAGTGTCGGGAGAGTGCGCAGGCATTTCCTGAATGAGCCTTTTGCTGATCATAAGATGTTCAGCGTTTACTCCTCTAACCCTAGGTTTAAAGGCACAACCCAGGCAGAAATAATACAGACACCTAGAAGATATCTCTGATGTGGCAGTCCCGCGCATGGAAATAACACCTCACAAGGGTGCTAGGACTTTGCAAAGTGAGCTACAGTAGCTGCAATGTTTTCGGGCTTTTGTAGGCGTCCTCTTGTTTCTTGAGGCTATCGCCTCATGCTCACCTCCTCGCGCTCACACTCTCATTGCCTTAGCACAGCCACATTGCGACAGTTAGCAGGCCCTTAAGTTTAGCATTCCCAACAATGCTTTTCCTTTTTCATTCCTCTGGCTTTGCACAGCAATACGCTCATCTTCGCGTGCAAGAAGCACATCAGTTCGAGGGGGTAGGCCTTCACTGAGCTGAAGAAAAGGCGGTGATCAAACGGAAAATCTGCGGATTCGTCACACTAACGATCAACTTATCCATAGGCGCAAGGATTGCCGGAACTGTGGCTTCCAACTAGAGACTTGAAAGGAGATTCCGCTGAAACGTTCAGTAGAGACTTAAGCTGGCTGAGTGTTCTGCTGTACCGTAAAGCGTTCATTGGAGGACTTCCAGGGTGATAAAATTAAAAATTATTGCTCCACAAGGAAAGTTGGAAGTTGGAAGCATTTAAGATGATTGAGAAGTATCTTACGGCAGCGACCGATCCACCCGCGGGCCATTGCTTTGCTGGAGAGTCTCGTTTTGTGTAAGAGATCTTCCGACGGCCAATACTGCCGTCGCGGCGTGGCTGGACTGCTGAAAGAAAGGACTAGTGCGGTAGGAAAATGGAGCCAGAGGTTGCGAGATTGGCCGCTTACCTTGTCTTTCCATGCCCATTTGAATGCACTTGGCATATCGGCATGCACGACAAATGATTCGCATTTCTAAATTAGCGATCTCAAGCAATAAAATTAATCACTCAAACAGCTCTATTCTAAATATATTCGGTTTCTGTACAGCTGCAGTCATAGGCAATCTATAAGCCGTAGGCAAATTTAATTGTATTATTCTGGTGCTTGAATCGTTTTGAACAGACTTATCACCTTTCATAAATTCAATTTTTGAACACTAGTCCTTGACTGCATCCCACACTCCCTGAGCCCCGCGCTGTGGGGGCGAAAACTCTTCCTGGTTGCAAAAGGGTGGTTAGCCGTAGCACTTTGCCAGGAAGTAGACTAAAGGGATGGCGGCCCGAGAGACGGCCCCTCCATACGGCAGTGGGGGCTCTCCGCCAGGATTAGGCTAGGCGGTGGGCAGTCTCTGGCCACTAGCACATTATGAAAGGTCCTAAAAATAATGTACCCTCAGTCCTGCGCACTCCGCGGATCCCATGAGTAGAGGGTGAAGCAGATGGGAGAAATTATCGGAAGAAGTCCGTCTGTACGGCTGTTTCGGTACCATCAATGTTCGAAGTTTAACAGGACTTTGTCCGGGCGCCCAGAGTGGTACCGGGCGAAATAGGTTTAGAGAGACTGGCACTTTCTCCAAGTACCAGTCGATAAGCAAGCACTAATCCTCATGAACAAGTGGAACGACAGTGGAGAAAAAACTGAGAAAAACCGTCGACAAGGCCGTTAACAAAACCCTCTTTCCCACTAGCAGTGAAGGAGGCTGGCTTGGGAAAGAGGCACGTACAAACAAGTTTTCTGGAGATGTCAGTCGTCTACGTTGATACGGCAATCAACCTAGCTGATCTCACACGTAGTCAGCCACAGCCTGTTCCGACATCCGAAGGTGGGCGTCGTCAGCGGCAGGCGGCGAAAGCGCTTAATACTTGCACTGGTGCCTTATTAAGGCGCCGCTTTGGGATTCTGAGCATGGTAGCGTCTCTGTGGGTGCGTAGCCATGCACAAAGACGACAAAAGGGATTGGGTTCGGTTCACTGAGCCTGACTCGTGCCTTTAAATGAGTCTTGGGGACATCAATACTTTTTAAACAATGCATTATCGTTCTCACGATCAGAGACAGCGGGTAAAATAGTTTGGCAGTTTCAGAAAGAATAAAATGAGAATCAGAAGATCTAGCATCCTTCGCTAGACAGCTCGACTAGATAATATGCACCACGTTCAGCAGTGACGTAATTCGACGCGTGTTAATAGCGTCTTTCGTTTTCCTCTGATTCTACTAGAACCCTTCATTTGCCTGCCCCACTTGCTGGCCTAACTCGTTCTCGCCTAAATCAGCTGGCAACATTGTACGAGCCTATTTCGCGCGCTTAAAGCTGTTTCTCTAGATTATTTTTTCATTACTGTGCAACTCAGCAACGCTCGACCGTCAGTTGGACTGACGTACACTATGTCTCCCACAACGAGGTGCACAACGGGGCACATGTGACGCGCTGCGGGAAAGACGACATCATGTGCGCTTCAAATGCTCTTGATTTGGCAGTAGGCATACAACCCTTTGGCCGTATGCCGTGTTCCCTAAGAGGTTGAGAGACGAAAATCCCTTTAAATTCTTTTTGTATTCCCAACTGGGACTATGTAGGTAAAATATACATGCACTGAAATGATGAGAAACTATATATCGTTCAAAACGAATAAATTTAAAGGAAAATTTGGATCACCTAGCCCCGGGGAAGATTGGCATACGGCCTCGTACCTCGAAGTCTGATTGGACTGGTGGATAAAATACCCACGATACCAAGGAAGCATGCTGAAAGCAGTTTATCCGCGCAACTTCTATCAATTGTGACTGTCACGTCACTTCCGGTGACACCGAATCAGACTTCAAGATATGGGCTGTATGGCTGCTGCCGTTAATTGCAACTCAGAACTGTAGTATTCCAGTAGTCTTCTAGTTTCGAGCTACTGAAATACTACGTAAAGACATGATGTAACAGATTATTACCCACCTGGTTGATCATAGCTTGGTAAGGGATAGAAGTACTCGTGTTTGATGTAAGCCAGTGTGCCTGAAATGTCAGATCTCCAGCCTTGAAAAGGACGGACTGAATCGGGAAAAATGGCGCTCAGCTTTGGTATCGAATATCATTAATTGCAAAGTATATGAGTTGTCAAAAATGAAGAGAGTGCATGCAACGCGTCCAGTTTACCCTTGCCATTGCCATTTGCCCAGCACCATTGTTCTTTTATTCTGAAAAGGGTAAATGCAACACTACATCGGTTTCTATACACTTCTGGAAGTACGTTGAAATGTAGAAGCGTTGTGGGGCTCGATAGTAAGGTTATGAATGAAATATTGGTAAGGGTTCTGTGGAGAATGATATGCTTTCTTTTGGTGACTGCTATGGGCACAGTTTGGTCAAAATTCGCGGGTCAGGAATGAGTTTCAGGGCCCCAGTGCCTCAAGTAAGAAAGAGAGGTCCCTAAGCACAGGAGTGGCGACGCTGTCCTGACTCAAAAGTGCGCGGCAAGGGCCCTAGGTCCCTGCCTTTCTTTCTTTGTCCCCGCTGCCATCCTACCATGGGATCGTGGTACACCTGGCGTTTGCGCCTTCTCGCGTACAGCGTGCTCTCTTGCCTTTTCCTCTTCTCGCATCGCTGTGCCATCGCCACACCACGGCCGACTTACAAGGAAATC